TCCTCCTTTCCACTCTCTCTTCATGGAACATGTGGCAAGAAAATAAAAAATAGCAACAATTCATACAATCAACGCAGCTGTTTGGTAGAGATGTTGATGATGTCCTCAACTCTCTGGAAATGTAATTGCCAAGTCTGTCTCTAATACTCTCTATATTTCTTGTATTTATTCCACAGACAGTGCTAGGTACATGTCTTTTCAACCGTCCCAGGTCTTCCCGATTGTCTTATTGGAAAGGAGAAATGACAAGGGAGAGGGGATGTGATTGATCACCTCGCATTCGGAAAGATTTTTTTGAATTTCACTGTCAGTGAGCGAGAAAAAAGAGCAGAGTGGATTGCCAATTGACTCTCTCGAAACATCACCAAAATAACCCGCCAAAATGCAGAAAGACAGTGGGTGCACAGTCCGTACTCCATACAGAAAAAGAAGGAAGATCCACGTACATTTCGTCCGCACCATTTTGGCATTTCCAAAGTTATGGGGCTATTATGTTTGTACTTGGCGCAGTGGAAAAGAATTAAGAGATTTAAAGCTTACAATTTTACGGCGACTTTGCACTTGTGACCAGCATCATCAAGCATTGCTTCCCGAACTTCACCAAAGTTCCCTTCGCCAATCTTCCTCCCAAGCTCCAATTTCTCTGGGAGAACCCAAAGGGATAAAGAAACCAAATGCGCACCTCCTCCTCCACTTCCACTGCTCCCGCTTCCTGAAGGGCCTGAATTTCTGCAAAAGGGCGAAAGAAGGAAATTGGAATTTGAACAGACAAACGAACATGAATGAAGCACACACAGGCAGTGAGTTTTTAATCCAACACAAAGGATGACCTCGGTCTTACCAATCGCCTTAAGACAGCATGTGCACAACGAAATGGGGACATCTTTGAGAAAAATATTTTGATTAAAATTCTGCTACGGGCCGCCTGCCCGGCCAGGCCGCCCGGGACCTCCTCCGGGCCCCTGCCGGTCACCCGGGCGGCCCGGATCCCCACTCAGGCTACGGCCCTGTTCCTCCAACCCCCCCGTTTCCATGTAGGCAAACTAGATGACCGTAAGCTTGGCATAATCTGAGCACACATTAACGTCACGTGCATGTACAGACATACCATGTATGACGCTATATTGTCGCTAAATGATTTTTTGCGGCTTCACTCACAAGAAAACAGTGGGAACCGCAAAAATGTTTTCTTTTCTTCCCTTTTCTTGCGGCAGTTGATTATACTTGGCTGTTTGTGATTTTGCATGGGAAATCATTTCATCTCAGCATCTCTCTTTTCTTTTGTGCTGTGGAGGAAGTCTTCCACTAATGCGAGCATGCATGCAATCATCCGTAAAAATGAAAATGCTATCATGATATTGTCTCAAGTAATTGAGTATTGGAATGATTGAGGTATGTCAGCGGCGGAGAAGTCATCCGGACAGATCCAGATGCCAGATGCCGGATTAGCCATCTTGATCCGGTTGTCATGGTTGTGCGGATATCTGGATATGTCCGGATAATCCAGACATGTCTGGATGCACATGTCCAGACTTCAGTTCAGATGACTGTATACGTCGGGATTAAAAAAATGAAGAAAAAAACACCAACTAGACATGACGGAAGCTTTCTCCCCTTTTCAGTCATCCTCCATGACAAGGAGGGTCGCAATGAGAGGAGATGGGTGCTGAAAGGCGGTGACAACAGGATACGACTGGCGGTGATGACACGCAGAGCTGATGGGAGGCAACAAGCAGGATGTGGAAGCTCAGTGAGCGTCAGGCGGTGGTGCAACTCAGTTCGCGTTTGAATAACTAGCACACGTAGTACCTACTGGGTAGGCTGATTCGATGGTGATCCAGGGCATTAACCGTGTGACCACGCCAATGGCCTGGATCCTCAAGCAATCTGAAAACATTAAGATTGGCCGACAATCCCCGCCATCGGCCCAGTAGGACACTGACGGCCCAGATTCTAGATTTCTTACATCTCTGCGATGATCTGGTTCGTGACCTGGAAGGACCTCGTTCCATCGTTTTTTTTTCCCCCCAAATATTCTATCGGGGTTTTAGATTTCTCAGACTAGCGATTTTTTGTCGGGGATAGGGCACAGGGAGAAGGGGCGGCAGGAGGCTTCATGCGGCAGGTTCAGCTTACCTGCTGGCACAGCGGACCCACCCACACACACAGAGGTCACCAGGTCACACAACCTCGACCACACACACCCGGGAGTGTCACCCTGGACCGGAGCAAGAGCTACCAGGGTGCACCCCCCTCGAACACAGGGTCCTGCCTCCCCGAGGCACCCAGCAGGGAGGCCGAAGTGGCACCACTGTCGCGGGTGCTGTCGGGATGAGAGTCACTCCTGCTAGGAAGGGGGTGAATCCTTCACTCCTCCCGTACTTATCCCCACTGAGCCCGCCCCTCCAGGTGCCGTCTCCCCCCATGGCCTCCAGCAACCCCAAGGGGAGGTGCGCGCAGCCGTTTCGGGGACCCAGGAAATGTGCCAATTGTAGGCCAACACCTGATGGGCACCTGAGGAGTGAATTCCCAGTTCAGGATGGTACTTCGAATTACCCCTGTGTACATCCGTACCCCTGGGCACAGACACTCAGTGTGCAAATGGCTTGTGTTTTGGTCAACGCCCGCCGGCGCCATATGCACGAGGCAGCGGAGTTTTGAGCCCGCAACCTCAGACCACAATGTGCATTTGCAAACGGTGCTCAATCCACTGAGGTATTTCATCGAGTGCGGGGACAAAGAACTGCCCGGTGAACCATAGGCAAAAAGCGAGAAGATACCAGATAACAGCACCTGTAACCAAACGTTCAATTGGCTTTTCAACAACATATCACATAAATATGTATACAATACTACACATACATATATATCGTCCATAGTCATTGCGAACTTCCAGCTACTACCAGTTATCTTAGTGTGGGAAGAAAGAACTACCTGGTCGACCATTTGGGAAAAGGGAGAGAATACCAACCATTGGCAAAAAGGGAGAAAATACCAAGAAACGACAGGCTGTGATGAGAACTCCTCGGTGAAAGGACAAGAAACGGGGGACTGTGACATTGACACATATACGGTTGACAATGCAGTTCTGTATGACGATATATGCACGGCTTCACTAGCTCCTTGCGACGGTTTTCTCCGAATGGCAATGGTCAGGGCTGCCACTATGCAGCGATGCTGTGCCTCTAGTGCCAGCAGTGTGTTGGTTGAAGCGTATTTTTAGGCAGTGACAGACCTTCCTTTGTTCTCGCTGGACCCCCTTTCCAGCATGTGCAGCTCCCCACAAATAGAATGACCTTCCTTTGTTCTCGCTGGACCCCCTTTCCAGCATGTGCAGCTCCCCACAAATAGAATGGAGCAACCAGAACCACTGCTAGTGGAGGTTGCTCTTATCACCTCCCCTACCAACATAGTTCTGATATTTATTAGAAAAACAAAAAGACTTTTCTAAGTTTCTTTGTTCAGTCAAGGGTTGCTGGCTTATGATTAGGGTGTGAACCTGCAGTTTGTAGAGTCTTTCACCTGGCGGGGGTAAGTGATAGTCTGCTTATCCTCGAGGGCAGTGGTTGGTGCCCATCTCGAGTTATCAGTTGTGGGGCAGTTGATGCTCAACCCTGCAACCAGGTCAGGGTTAAACCACCACTACCTTTTCCAGGAAATGTCGGGAACTGACAATGTAACATTCCTAGAACTCTGGACTAACAGTGCTACAGGCACTAGAACCTTTTCTACATTAAAAAAAAAAAGAAGAAGAAAAAGTTGCCTCTTTTCCAAACTGGGTATAATGGCCATGTGCAAGTATCAGCCAAAGGGCACTGCCGAGCACCATTGGTATGACTGTGGGCTAAAACAGGCCAAAGGTGTGATAAAACAGGCCAAGACCTTGGAATTTTCTGATACAGATAACCTTCCATAGTTGGATCAAGACCAGATCCCATCTTAACCTGTTTTGACCTGCGGTCATGGCCGCAGCCTGTTTTGCCGAGGAGTCATATCCCCCCTTGGCCCATGAACTCAGGCTGATTTGGCCTGGAGCCCTGGCCAAGCTAACTCTAACCTATGACAAGGCACATTTGGAGGGAACAGCCCTTGTCAACTAATAACCAGAGAAGAGTACAAATGAAAGAAAAGGAAAATGGGAAAGAAAAATGCAAGGAGAACAGGAGGAAGCTAGGGAATGGATGTGAAAGCAATGGACTGCAAAGGAGGATCAGAGATTCTGAAGGAGAGGACAAGAATGGCGGGGATACATAGGGAAGTATATGGATATACGAGTATGGACAATCATGACAGAGCAAAAATTTGCCTGGTGTCAACTGACGGAAAGAGAGGAGAGCCCAAGGTGCGGACAGAAGTAAGGCAATCTGGATACCACATATTGCAAAGCAAACAGAATTTTCAAACATGAAGTGGATCTAGGAAGCAAGGGCGAGGGAAGAGAGGGACAGGGCAAGCTGACAGTCAATCCTCCACTGCTGTGGAGCAATCAATGCTGTTCAGGGGTCCTTCGGCCTGACGGAAGGAAGCGTGTGTGTCTTTATTGATGTAATATATATTTTGACTTGCCAGGGGAATAGGAACCGGACTGACGCTCCCCAGAATAGAAGGAGCCAGGACCTTAAGGCTCTGTTTGCCAAAAAAAAAAAAAAAAAAAAAAAAAAAAGGAAGCAAGGGCGAGCAAATCATCAAGAAGGTACATACAAGGAGGATGAAAATGGAAAACAGAAGGTTGGGCGGTGGAGGGAGGGGAGGGGGGCGAGGCGGGGGGAGGATGGACTGGAGGTAGGGGGATGAAGGAAGTAAGGGAAACATACTTGACAAGGTCAAGAAGAGCCATATTCTTCACAAGCGAAGTCACTGACGAGGACCCAACCTTCGAGGTTTCATTGTCGGTCGGGCACTGAATTGCTCCATAGATTTTCATCTTCTGCAGGCAATCTTGGCAGAATGTATGTCCACATTTGGGCAAGATCCTTGGTGTCCGATTCTGCTCGTCATAGGTCCGATGACAACGGGGACAGCTCGGCGCATTCATTGTCGTTTCAGCCTCCTCTGATTCTGATCTGTTTCCGCGATGCCAATATGTTACCCAGAGGTCTCAGACTGCCCCTTTTTCTTCCCAGCAATAGGTCACTGACTCCCTGGTCAGTTTTTCTTTTCTTTCCCTTCAAGATCAACAACTGTCAGTATAAATTATGACTTTATCCAGTCAGTCAGTTGAATCACATTTACAAACCATAGTCCCCGCTCCCCCGCCCCCCCTCCCCCCCCGCCGCCCCCCTTCCTCTCATCACCTGTTTACTATCTATTAAGTGGATGGGTCTCAAAGAACTTACAGCCCTTGCCTTGCACTAGATGCATAAAGTGTCAGAGTCTCAGTGTCTGAGTTGCATGTGGCAATCCAAATGCAAGAACTTCGGCGTTGCTGGACGCAATTCAAGTTCACTGGATATGCACATTGCTTTACCTGTTTTTTTTCCCCTTTATGTAAATTAGTCGCTCTCTAGTATCTACCTTTTCTGTCAATCTGTCTTTTACTCTGTTCAATCAGGGACGATTCGCTAATTATCAATTAATAATTTCAGAGTCTTCAGACCAATCTACCTATATGCTAGATGCTGCTGAACTTCGTAAGCTACCAACAAAGTCTGTGAAACAGTGGCTTGCTCGTATGTAGCAGACAGGTAAACAACGGCCAGATACAGTCAAACTAAACCCTGACATGAGTAACCCCCTACTTGACTCCTTTTTCTAAACTCATCTGCCAATGGACTCTTAAACTGACTCTTAAACTGACCAGCTCAGACAAAAAAACAGGATAGCTAATCTCAACTATAAGCCTACAACTAGGGAGGTCCCAGAGTACCTACGCATTTTTTTGGCGGCCAGAGCTCCCAAGCACAATGGGGTTGCCAGTGTTTGTTTCCCTTCCCGTTTACCAGAAAGAAACACTGCTCAGCCCCCTCCTCTTCACAATCCCACTTACCCTCACGCACCCTACCCTTCCCTCTCTCACACTCTCCTTGCGACAAGTGCTGATCCAACTTCCACTTGAATGGAAGATCCAAACGGATTTTTTTCACATAAATCTCCACGTTTTCAAATCTGGGAAACTGTTGTCATGAGGTGTCTTCTGAGAACAGATCGCAGGACCGTCATCAGTTACCTCGCGGGTGACATATAACCACCCACTGATGCCAGGGTATCAGAATGAGCTGAATAAGGGGAAAAAAAACAGTCTGAGTAGCATCAGATATGGTTGGGGAACTATGGGTAAGCAATAGTTAGTATGGGAACACCAATAATCAAAGTGGAGTAACTGTTTTGGGAATATGCCTGGACCAAGAATTTCAAAAGAGGGAAATATTTGACCACTGCATGCTTTTTCACCATACTACCTTCCGACAGGCAAATTAGTTTACTACTGTCTATCGCGCTGACTTGAACATATTATGCGGAAATTTCACCGGAAACTGCATTCTTTTTTCTGATGCGAAACATTAGTGATATTTCCGCCTTGTTCTCTGGGGAAAGACAGGAGAGGACATTTCGAGTAATTCATAATAATTATTGATTATTGATTTGTATGCTGTGCTTCCTTCCAGGAGTTGCAATTGAAATAATTGCTGAGTAATCAGGAACCACGCTCAGAGTCAACCAGTAGTAGACTTCTATGCCTTCCTCATCTCTCAGTCAGCAAGCGGTCACTGCCTGCACAGTCACTGTTACGGTATATACTCTTGAATGCCCTTCTCAGCTGCAGCGCGGTTCAGAGTCTGACCTGCAAGTTTTGCCATTCGTCAGAGTTAACCATCGGTTAGCTGATTCATTACGCAACAAGTCATTCATTACGCAACAACAAGAAACGAAGTCCTGAGAACGAGCCGCTTTCGCCCAAGAAGACTTATCACACATCAGCAATCGAGCAATGGATACGAGAACTAGGAGTGCCACAAGTCCGATTGCACAAGAATGTTTAACAGAGCCCTGAAGTCCACTCTACTCTTCATTCACAAATAATGGACCAGGTACGCATAATTTAACAAACACAAAAAGCAATGCAGCACATTCCAGCATGCACACTTAGTCAGGCAAACGCGATGCAAAAGTCACTCTCCAAGAAGAATGCACACAACAATTGACGGATCTCTTGAAGAAGCGCCTGAGCAGCTATGACAGCCTTCTATGCTGTCCTGGCTCCTTTGGTTATGCAGCCACCATCTGCCTCCTTCCTCCATCCTTGGACAGCTATGGATCTCCCTGCCGATTGGCATTTCGTAGTAGGTGCTGCATGAAGTGATTCCCAAAATGCAAGTGGAATGAATAATTTGAATAAGTTATGTCCAGTCTTCTATGTTGCTCAGGGGCATAGAAGGCTACTGTAGCTGGTGTGAGGGAACTCATTGACGGGCGTGCTAAACCACCAGCTGTATGGAGCCCCTCTTTTTCTGTCTGCAGTGTTACGAAAAAGGCCACTCTCAGATTGGATTCGGCATCGAACAATGCGTTTTTGATGACATTGTGTGAACTATGATTAGATGTGCTTTCATCGCTGAAATTTCAGTTGTGCAACCTTGGTTTTTTAATGTTCATTGAGTTGTTAGTCTGATTGCGTGATTGCATTGCATCTGAATGTTCTCTCCCTCTCTCTTTAAATTCGCCCTTTCCCTCCATCTCCTTTATACCTCTGTCCCTTGTCACGGACTCACAGAGTCCACAAGCTGCTTCCTGTTCAGACTGTGTGGCGCCTGAGGCCACAGTCTGCCTCTCTCTCTCTCTCTCTCTCTCTCTCTCTCTCTCTCTCTCT